CATGGAGTCCAGAATTTCCTTGGAGGGTGTCGTGCTCATTTAACTATTCAGCTGTCAGGTGGTTGAGTAGCAATCGTTACAGTAGCTTGCCTGAGAAGCTCATCAGACTGACGTCCTTGTGGTTGTCACATGGAGTCTTTCTTTGTAGAATGACACGATTGGGACATCCTTGAATTACGGTAAAACTTTTTCTTCTGAGGTCATGTCGGTCGTTGAAGTGCATTCTCCAGTCGGTCCATCATACCTGAATAGTTAGGCTGCAGGCACGCCTACTCCAGCTGCTTTGCCATTTCGCAACTGCAGGTTTGCCATTTCGCAACTGCATGTTTGCTTGCCGTATTTCTTCGATAGTCGGAGGGAAACCCGGGGAAAGAGAAATCGAAACCGTTCAGCTGTAGCACCATTTTGGTGCCTAACTGCCATGCCACCCGAAGTTTGCAAGAGGGCTGGGATACTGCCAGGTTGCCCAAGCCTAGACAGGGGAAGTCGAGAAGCAGAGGTCGGGTTCGAACCACGGACCTTCCGGTCAGTAAATTCGCGCTCTAACCGCTTGGGCCATCTCGCCCAACTTGGAGACAGTTTCATCTCTTGATGAAATAGTCTATCTGTTGCAGTCAGCTCTCGTCGGTCGATTCAGTTATTCGTAGGAGTGCTTGTACCATTTATCCGATATTTTTGCAGATGTTTGCTTCAGTCCCGTATGAGTATCTTGTGGATTTCGGGTCGGTACGATGCTCGCCCCATAGATAGCACTCGAGCAACAGTGAAACTTTTCGCCTTGTCACCGAGTAGCTAATTATGATATCTGATCATTTCGCTTTCCCCATCATTCGCCATTTGTGCAATTGAGTTACCGAGCCATGTTTTTTCACTATCTTAGTTGCCGCTTCGCGACCAAATAGGTAACAGATTCGGCAAGCGTTTAGTTTTTCCAGGTTTCTAGCTGTTTTACGTGATGGTCGGTGTCCTCAAACTAGTTCGGGATCCTAGGGCGGATTTGGCTGACTGCCGTCGTCCATTGCATTAAAGTGTGCCATGTTTCTTCCAGTGGGCATTTAGTGAAGATGGCATACCAACCTAACTTCCGGATTTTAATACGTGCCACATCGATCCTTATGCGCCAACTAATGCAGCTGGCATAGTGCAGGTTATGGGACACCATTTTTAGCTTCGTTAGTACAGGCTGATAGTCGGTTCCACAGTTAGTTTCTCGCATCATCTGCGGGATACACATCCATCAAAAGTCTCGCTGGAGGACGATAACGCAATCGAGAAGATGGGAATAGCCGATCCATAAGTGTGGCGATGTGTTGCTTTTCGAAGCGAAATTTCGCGTTGTTGATAGCGGAGGCGTGGATAAGGCAAAGTCTGAGAATTCGCTCACCATCTACCTCCAGTGCCGATAACACTGCGTACAAAGACACCTGCCCATGGACTGTAAGCTCGACCAGCACGTGAACCCAAGTCATCCAGTAAGTGAACTTTCCATCTTCGGGACTGAACTGTGAAAGATATAATCTTGAACGTAGAAGCTGTGTTGGTGGTTCCCTGTTGAGCACAGCATTGGTGTGTATGCACTGGTAAGTCATTTAGGTTTGGCCTGTCGATCTCAGGTACAGTGAAGCAATATTTGGATTGGTGCCACGGGGTTCTGTGTTGGGCATTTTCATGAAGCAGTCGGACAAAGTAAAACCAAAACCATCATCCCCGTTTTCTCCTGTTGTGCAGCAAATCCACTAGTTCCTGGAAGATTTCACTGACTAACCAGCCGTGTTTCGCTGAGGGTCACGATATCGATCAGGTGCGCCTTGAAAATTGCCTGATCTTGTTATCGCTTTGATTCAGCAGCGTTCGCAGATTCCACCAGCCAGTAGTTAACGGTCTTCTGGGACAACGTGACTGCTGCAAGAGAGAATTAGCATCGGTTTCCTAGTTTCGAGGTGTGGTTGCCGGGCCCCAAGAGACCATGTTTTGCAGTGGCAACACAGCCTTAGGGTATGATTGGTAATCGTAACATTTGTTGACCAAAGTTGGTTAAACGGAACGGGACCCATCTGCAATTCAAATTGTCGCCTATAAACCGTGTGCCGTAGGCACAAACGGTCCCAGTAATACAGTTTCGATTATTGGAATGTGGGTGTGTGGAGGCGTTGACATTTTCAGCTCGTCTGGGGACTCGGAAGGTAGGCACCGAAGATGACAACCTTGATGCAAGAGCGCCACTGACTGTGCGACTGGTGAGTTCAGTCACGGAATTCCCATCCAGAGGCATCAATTGTCGACAAGACTTAGCTTCGTGTTTTCGTACTCCGTTGCCAGTTCTCACCGTCGCTTCTACTCCACACAGGGATTTTTAGAAGAACGCGAAGCAGATGATCTTCTGAGATACGCAGTACATATCATAACCATCGTAACCTGAGGCGCGAGCAATTCATTTGTCGCGGGAGAATTCATTTATCCTAGGACCATCCGGTGTCTCCACCGGTAGTCTATCTTTCGTATGTCTTCTGCGTGTAAGGGACACGTCTCACCCATAGAACAGTATGGATCGAATTGCGGCACCGTAAACTCTGCTCTTGTCAAACTGACTTCATGCCGACTCCATGTGTACCAGAGGTTGGCAAAAGCTCCACTGGTATTCTCGATTTGAGAAGTAATCTCATCTCCAGCCAACCCACCGGATATGCTGTTTGCTTGGGGAAGACACCTTACTGCCTTCACACTCCTATCGCAGATGACAGCAGGACTTTACCTCAAGACCGTCCCGTAATAGGATTACTCGCAGTACGAGGACTCGTCGCGCTGCTCCCTGTTGGCTTCCAAGGCATCGTATTTCCGATTTGAGGAGTAATCTCATCTCCAGCCAGCCCACCGGAAGTTAGGCAACAGCCCAAGTAAACACATTTATCCACCGCGTTGATTGGCTCGTCTGCAAGAATGAGTCTCGGGCTTGGTTTCATTCAGTCTTGCAACACCACTTTGCACTTTGTAGGTGTGAAGTGCATGCCAATTGGATTGACAGAGTAATTTAGGTTATTTAAAATGTTTTGTATTTTCGCAAGACCTGAACGAAGGAGAGCAAGATCGCCGGCATACTCAATGTCTGTGAGTGAACATCCCAGGAATATTTCGACCCTCGCAGTTTCTAGGGCAGAAGAAAAATTGCAAGCAATACATCAGTGAGGAAGTTGAAGAGCACAGTCTTGTTTTACACCACTGGGTGCGGTGGACGCAGATGTATAATTGCCGTATGCTCGTACCCGTTCACAGATCGCATATAGGGCGCTCATATGGGATATGAATTTGGACGTCTTCCGGACTTGATCGTTCACCTTGGGCATTCATGTAACCTGACAGGAATACTATATCAACCCTTTTTCTTGCCCGACGATTTTGGTAAAAGCCCATCTCCAGTCTCGGAGCTTCAGTCTGTCGGGGCGTATGCTGAAACGACAGATACACACTGTTTACCGCATCGATTTGCATTGATCTTATTTGAGCAAGGTAGGCACACAATGCAAAGAAACCTGGTTACTGTGACCTAGCCCAGTAAGTTGCTTTTAGCTTTGGGACTGAGTGTAACTGCCGAGCCGTAGATAGCAGTAGCCATTGCATCAGGATCACAGAATACACGAAGAGTGACATATACATCATCTGAGTTCGTACTAAGCGGCATGAGGTATACGACCGAATTGAGGTCTTCTCTGCGTACTTCGGAAACATGACAAGCACCGACAGGTAAGGAAAGCAAGGCTTCAGCAAGAGATGCCTGATGCCCAATTTGACAAAGGGTAAGGACAGCAGAGGCTGCAACGTTAATCAGACCTCTTGAGGCTAGTGACTATTTTGGTTCATTTTTCTGGGAGACGATTTGGACAAACAATGATGGGTAGATGACTGGCGGGTGGGTTGATTGTACTCATCGTTCGATGGGGGGCAGGGGGTGTGAGAAAGGCCGGTGAGCAAACAGCTGCAATGACTAATGATACTTCCCGGTTATCCAAGCCGAAGAAACGGGAGTTGGTTGAGGTACTCAAAAATCTGACTCACAGGGAAGTGGGAGGATGTAGGGCTTCGTTCGGGGATCCTGTTATCTGCCTCCGACGCATATGTCCGACCCACGAGGCAGCGGTTGTTAAGGAGAGACGCTTCCATGAGCCAGTGACTTCATGGTATGACCAACTTGGCTGCACGTAGCCGACCTTGCCCAAGAACACAGGGAAGGGATCACTGCCTCACTCCTAGTGAAAGTGTGAACAGACTGTGACTCTTGAGCAGCCCCGGACTCATTGGTTTTAAATGTGTTTCGACCGTATTGGATAGTGCTTGGGGGGAACACCTTACTGCCTTCACATTCCTATCGTAGATGACAGTAGGACTTTACCTCAAGACCGCCCCGCAATAGGATTACTCACAGTACGAGGACTCGTCGCGCTGCTCCCCGTTGGCCTCCATGGCATGGTTGAACCTTTAGGAATTGAGCTCCAGGCAGTATAGCTCGCACAATCACTGCAGCACAGAAGCCCGACCACCACGACAAGGTGACAGCTTTAGGCCATCTCTCTCCAATGGAGGTATCGTAGTGCGCGCCTAATAAGGTAGACGCGGCTGTTTTATTTGAGGGTCACATCTGAGCCACCGCTGATCCCTATGTGTCAGCAGAAGGAGCACTGTCTCATCATCTACCCGCGCAACCCAGTATGCATGGCACACCAACCAGCGCACATCCTGGGACGACAGTCATAGCCGGATGATGGTAGGGTGCTATTTGTCACCAGATTCCGGAAACAGAATAGGCTGATGACGCATGCCAATAACAGACAATGTGAGATAGAACTTATCTTTATTTGACACTCACTAATATAACTAAAAGGCATCCAACCAAAAAGATTCATGAAAATAATCTGGTACGGCAGACCGACAACGGTGACTCCAAGGGAAGTCCACTGTAATGAGCTAGGATGCTAAATACCACAAGACGGTATGCATACGCAACATACTTGGAGAACCTTGATTTGTCACCTCCGGTTAGCCGAGCCAAGTCGCGGAACGTCAACTCTTCCAAATGCGGATAACGGACGGCCGTCCAAGAATTCTGCGCCTCATTGATGGACTGAATAAACGTATGGTCCACAAAGTATGGTGTATCGGAATAGGCGAAGGTTGTGAAGTCAACGGGTTCCGAAGGGGCGGGAGATGAGCTGGTGAAAGAAAATATTTTCGGATGGAAGGTGGTCAATAACGGAGAAAAACAGGATGAAGTCCCACGAATATTCGACTATCTGGGGACCAGCGAAATAAAACTGGATTAAAGTAAATATTCTTCCATGAAATTACTCAACCCTTAAAGCTTTGACGAGGTCACAAAGGGATTTGTTCACTTCCACTATCAAGTCAGTATCCAAACAATATACCGCCCCGAAGAGCCCTATTAAAGAGAACTTTGCTGTATAATGTGCATCATATGAGTGAATTTATTAACTTTGCATTTTTATAGAGAATTGCAAGTTTTATCTAGTTCCGTTTGCAAAAGATGATAGTTTTGTGTAGCTATACACTCATGCGGAATTTGCTGTTGTGGAAGAGTTTTTACCAATCTTATCAGCGGTACCGTATCATGAGGAAAATTTCAGTTATCTTGCCTGGAGCAATCGACGCAAAAGTCTGACTCCCAAGGCAGTGGGAGGATGAAGGGTTCTGTTCGGTGACCCTCCGCTAGCCTCTGATTCAAAAGTCTTGACCACGGAATCAATGACTCAATAGTCTGAGCCACTTGGCTGTAGAGGGCCGGCCTGGATCGAGGGCGCAGGGAGTAAGGCATCCTAGTGCAGATGCGCGCAGCAGGTGCCTTTTGAGCAGCACCAGACTCTTCGGTCTCAAAAGTATCTCGACCGTATTGGATAATACGCTGGCGGTAACGGTCAATCGTTGGGCGATCAGAGTGTGCGGTTTTTAGGGCCGACATTTGCTAACCGTCCTTCCTCGGGGGGTCGCAGCATCGTTGCTTCCATGAATGTGGATATGCTGGTCGCCTAGGGGAAACGCCTCACTGCCTTTGCACTCACATCGCAGAGGACAGTGGGACTTTACCTCAAGACCGTTACGTAATACGATTGCTTGCAGTCGCGCTGCTCCCCGTTGACCTCCATGATACGGTTGAGCTTTAGGAACTGAATTCCAGGCAGTATAGCTTGCAGAATCATTGCAGCACAGAAGCCCGACCACCACAAGATCGGGTTTTGCCAACTTGGAGAAGAATTAGCTACTGGAGGTGAAAAAATTGCAGATTGTTCTTGAGGCAAGGCATAATTACTGGATTACACGATTGAACCTCCATGAGAGTGCAGTCACTCTTGAAGGACCACTAGAAATATGTAATGACGAAACCTCTATAGTGTATTAAGTAAAGCTGCGGTAACGCATTCAAACATCAATCATCTATCCACAATTATGAAATAAAATGTAAAATCGAATGCTGCTAACCTATTTTGTGATCTGCTAGGTAGAATTCAGTTTCAGTGCAATGTCGAATATGCCGGTAAGGCAAGCAAGTCGTCTGTTCGGATCAGAAAGATCGTCGTCACGCGGGTTGGTTTTACCCTACTGCGTCAAATACGACTTTGAGACGACTTTGAAACACTGCAGCCCGGATCCAGAAGCAACTTTTTCACTAACAAATCCACACCGATTAACGAGAATTGTGGACAATTGTCTAAATGTTATTGGTCACTCCTATTCGTTAGAGTCAAAATGATGTTAATGAATCCGCTGGAGATACAGTTTAATGATCGTTGTGTAGTTCATCAGCTGAAAAAAAAACTTATTATGGCGATCCGTAAGGGGGGCGTTCCCCTAACTTTGGAAAAACGAGCGTTAGAAAAGCAAAGTTTGAGATTAACAGATGTTTCAACCTTTCTTCCTTTTAAAACCAAAGAGTTCCATATGGAGTTGCTTTTTGTTCCATGATCTCCATCACTGCTAGTTACAGCTTTTCTCTAAGTCCCTGTCCGATAGGGGGTCTTAACAGTTGGTCCATATTTCTTGAGTTCATATTGCCTGGGAGCAATAGCCTATTCTCCAGCGAATGACACTGGATAGTCTTAAATCAATCGCAAGGTTGCACCGACTAGGAAGTCATCGTTCACTTGAATTTAGTAAAATACTGGATAATCATGCCGTCATGGCGTGTCCGCGACATGAACACTCGAATAATGGGCTAGGGGATTTAGCGGAGCACATATTACCCGATTTCTCTTTAACACTCCATTACACGCTCATAGAATGGCACCAATCAAAACCCGGACGCAATCTGGGGTGTCTGCCTTTGGTGCAAAACCAAGTCAAATCCTAATTCCCGAAGATTCAGCATTCAAAAACTTTTTTCTAGTCCATGGGGAAGATAATTCAAACGTGAGAAAATTATCATTTGTGTCCGAAGCCTCATATCAAATCGGACAAGCTTTGTCAGAGAATCACGTGCATCTGGACCCTCATAATTGTTCGTTTGTTGTAATAACAACAATCGACTTCTAATTTTAAGCACACCCTGATTCCACGGGCTCCTCGATAACATTAACGCTAGCAAATGTCTCCATTGAGCAACCACATGAACGACTGACGCATCAGTTTTGGTGTTCGTCGTACATTGTCATTTGTTTTCTGACAACTTTTTGATCGTGCAACGAGTCTTCAATTGACCCTACTTGATTCGCCCAATTCAAATATTAAGACTGCAACCTGTGAAGTTGAAACTGCAGAGCATGCTATAGTCTTTGGACAATTGTGTTACAGTCAGAGAATCTATGAAAATGAAATGGTAGAAAATGATTCAGCTGTAACATCCTTCCGATGCCTAGCTGCCACGCTACACAAAGAAGGGCCGAGATACTGCCAGGTTGCCCAAACCCAGACAAGAGCGGTCTAGATGCAGAGGTCAGGATCGAACCACGGACCTTCCGATCAGTAAGTTCACGCTATTTCGAGGTGAAATGAAATAACTTATTCTGATGAAATTTACGTATGTGATCTGCTATGGTCTCTACATTCCACAAAATTAATAATATAAAAAGTATGCTGCGGCAGAAACTACCCGACGCTTCATAAAAGTTCCGTTAAGGGCTTAATTTACTCAGAGATAGTTCATCAGTCAAGGCAAGATGGATCTCAGGACTGCATGGGCACCAGATTCCCCATATCAAACGAACCGTTAAGGGAATTCACGCGGTTTTTAAGGCTCTCACATATGAACGGCGGTCAGGATGGAAAATGTTTTCAGCAAAGACTTGGTACACTCTAAGAGTCTTATTCTTGCAGTTGACGAAATTGACTGCCCATATGGATCCGAGAAACGTAGCAGAAAAGCAGATGGTGGGTAGTTGGAATTTCATTCACCTTGAGGTGAAACGACGCCAAACATACATGGAAGTAGGCGGGACCGAAAACAAGCGCCTAGTCACGCGGCCACCCACTTTTTTCATTGTTACTTCATTCGCTGTGAGTGGAAGGAGATGGTCAGCAAGGGACATATCCCACTAGAAATCAACCCTACAATAACGGTATCGCTGGGGTCAACTAGAGTAAAAAACAGAAAATCTGACAAACGGACACGGTGAAATCACACTGTCACGGTATCACATCTTTGGGAAATTTCAATAGTAGTTCACGGTCTTTTCGCCTCTAAAACCCTTATACTGCAACACTTTCAGCAAGTGTATGAATGACATTTTGATCGAAGCTCCTCTCTTACTAACTCAGGGAGGCAGCCAACTCAGCTTTGCAGTCACAGACGTTTGCAACTTTCTACACTCATTATGCCGGTTTACTCTACATAACTGACTAGGATGAAGATCGAGCCCATAAGTTGGCCGACCTTATACTCTCAGGGGAGCAGACAGAAGAATGGAACACTAAATTGTCTTGTTCAACTGCCTCGCCGTTCTACCTGGTCATGACGAGTGGCAGTGGTATGTGTTTTGTTGTTTGAGGGTGAGTAGGAGTCTAATTAAACACCCGATATTGCTACTGTGTTCATTTCGCAAGCCAAGATGATCCTTCAAACAATCACTACCTGGCTGAGGTTCACTGGTTCCGTACAGCTTCATACACCCACATTCGGTATATCAGCATGGGTGTTTTTCTAGCCACTATTGATGATGCTATAGTTTCGTCGCTGAGTCCGGGTGACAGGAGGTTCAGTTTGGGATGAGGCACTGAGTACGAGACCCTCTGAATACACCACGCTACTCTGTATGCTGCGGTTCTGAATTCATGTTGCCTTTTGCGTCTTTCATGCCCACCTCATATCCTTTCAAATGTAATCCCCTTGTGTCTAACTTAGAAACCTTTTTGAGCTACACAATGAGTGAATCATGGATATTGATTTATCAGTAAGGCTCTGACGCAGACACAGACGTCGGAATGTCTAATATCACCATCTTTCGTTGCAAGTGGACAGGGGAGTGGAACAGTCGAACAAGGCAATGCTGTGATCCAGGCTCCGCACATCGATTAGAAAATAATGTTCAGCCACCTCTCGGTGCCTAACTGCCGGTCCAACGGAAGGAGACACAAGGGCTGGGATACTGCTAAGTTACCCAAACCTAATCAGAAGTCGAGATACAGATGTAGGTTCTGTTCAATCCCATGAAGGTATAAGTCTGACCAACTGGTTCTCCTCAGTTTCATTCTAGAGACCCGTGAGTGCATAAAGGCGCGAACGTCTATGACTTTGAAACTAGGTTCATGGTTACCCTACAAATGCGCCAGTAAAAATGCTATCCATGCATACTTGAAATATGGTAAGGCGAAAAGACGATAGCAAAAAAGTGTCATCAAAATATCTCTCCATAAAGTCCTGAAATTTCACCTCGTCTGTTTTTCGTCTGTTAGCGCCCCTACGTCGGCTGATCACATTGAGTCCTGGAATTATTGTCTAAAAGGGTTTGTCATTTACTGCTACAAAATAATTCGATTCCATCACCTGGGGACGGGGTGGGGTTGAAACCACGGATGATCCTACCGTTTTGTCCCGGCGTACAAAATATTTTATCAGGATTGCGTTGTGCAGAACGATGGACATACTTGTTTCCCGTCCCAAGATCTCTCATAATACTAAAAGCTGAGGCTCGCAAGCCATAACAGCAAATTCAAAAAGGCTCGTCAATGCATTCAAAACAGCATTGCTCTGGGGGATCCGCAGTTTACACCCTATCAACCTATGTACACCAAAGTGACAGCTATCCGACATTCTCTGTGGCCTGGACTAACGGGCCGATAACGCAAGCGTAGATATTGTGATCCACGCTCCTGTTTGTGATGCCGGTTGCATCGCTCTTGTCAGTGGCGATGAGAAAGGTAAAAACCTGTTAGGTGCTGTTACATCAGCATTCGATCACATTACCTGCCACATAACGTACAACCTATTTACTTTTGTCTTTCCCAAAATGGATATAGACAAAAATAAAAACAATAAATTGTTCAGCTGAAGCGCACTTTCGGTACCTAACTGCCATAGCGCCAGAAGGAAGCACAAGGGCTGGGATACTGCTAGGTTGCCCAGGCTCAGACAAGGGGGTCAAGTGGCAGAGGTCGAGTTCGAACAGCGGACTTTCCGGTCAGTAAATTCGCGCTCTAACCACAGAGCCATCTTCATGGATATGGATATTCTCAATCGAGAGGTTGGAAGTGTACTGTCTAACAGATGGCCTGTTCGTTGAGTTGGCTTGGTGGAGTGACAGCGATTGTAATTAGAACAATTAAGAAATATACGATACTCCTTCAAAGTACCATCGTTCGTATCCAGAATGACACAATGAAACAATGAAAATGGGTTGTCATCCAAAAATAATGACGCGGACACAACCCAGCAAGTGCATGGTGCATGCAATCAAGCTACTTCGGGCTTACCTTACGGGAGCCGACAATTTTGTAGCTTCGAACCACCACCACTGACGGAGAAGACTATCGTGAGACCAGCCATGTCGACCACGGTTGCAAAAATACCGACCAGATTCATCAAAATCGAACATTACAAGCCATTTGCGGTGAGCGATAGTGACTTCGAAACCCTGCAAAGTTGTTGGATGATGAGGTGAAGGCTAACAAAGCACCAAACCAACGCCCTGTTAATGATATTTCAGAACACCTTTAGACCTGTGTTCTTCCTTGCATGCCTTCACCCAACGATTTTATCGTCCCGTTCACAGTCGAAAATGGACAAAATGTCTCAAAAGCAGCGACCTAATTCACTCTCCTGTTTTTGCTGATGCCTACGCGGCCTCCCTTCGATGCCCGACACATGCTCGTCTCTCATTCCTCAGAATGAATTATGGCTCATTTGCGGCAGAGTACCTGGAAAATGGTTCAATGCATTGCTTTCTAGTCAACTGATGGCGATTACGACATTAGGAGGCAGGATATCAGACGCAATGGAACTGTGACAGAGACTCTTTGGAGGATTTGATTCGGGCTAACCATCGTATCTTAGCAGACAAATCTCTTAGAACACTAATGCGGCGGACTGCTCTACACTCAGCAACAATGCAGGGTGCTATCGTTATTTCAAAGCTCAGAACAACAGAATTGCATTCTATAGTTACAAACACATCAATTAAATAGACAATAAACCTCAACGACACCTGGTACGACTTAAGTGACCAGACTGTCGTCTGAAATTCCAACAGATATCCGTTGGCTGCCTCTGATCAGATATGACATAATATTCCAGTCCCCCAGTTGGAACAACCAACCAACCAGTATAAGATTGAAGCCCAATAAAAAGCAAGGGCCATCTGGTTATGACCGGTCGCGTAGACCGGAAAAACGCCACTTCAGTCAGCTGTTTAACAAAACATAACCCTAAGGAACCAAGAACATACTGATTAGACGTGGGCTGCAATAGAACTTAGTCGTCTCCCGAACACAAGTAGATGGAAACCAATAAGACATTGGACGGCACACACTGTTCCAAAACAAATGGTTGAACACAGACACTAATTCCCTTCCCTATCCATTTTTACCCTTTTCTTTCCAAAAAAAGCCTTCGAATGGCGATGGTTGTAATTCCCTTCCCTATCCATTTTTACCCTTTTCTTTCCAAAAAAAGCCTTCGAATGAGCGATGGTTGCGCGGCAGCGAAGCATCAGTGGCGAATATTGAAGTTGTCAATGATGATTATGGCTGAAGCTAAATGCAGCAGCATGGGAGAGTTAGAATCAGAACAAGGGTATTATAATCCCAAATACCACCGGTTATTTTCGACTCGGACTTGTGTGCATGTACGTATCGTCGCTTGAAGAGTAGTTAAATGAAATTTCATGGTGAATAAATGGAGGCTGTCGGATTCTGAGGTGATTAGTTGATCGGTTTAATCATCCTCAGGCTACTAACTGTTCCCTTGGTGATAAGACGACCATGTACTGCGTACTATCCGGGCAAACTAGATTTTAGGTATCACACAAGTATAATTTTCTACCAAGTGTATAACATGAAAAATTCTCAGCGACCACGAGGTTACACATGTATATGACCCATTCTTATTCATAATCTCAAACTCATCTCATCTTTTCATCTTCGATAGCAAAATCAAAATGATGCATGAAAATGGTGACGCATGTGGCTCCCCACAAGCAGAGGGAAATTTTTCGTGTAAAGTGAAGACCGAAACCTACTTGGTTATAAATTAACGTCCAGGCTCCAGTTGTTCCATATCCCTTGACAGATGCCGCAAGATTGGGGTAGAGAAGATCAATGATGAACTCATCATGTGGTTCGGCTGAAAAGATGCAATCATTGAGGGGATCAACATAACTACCTGAACAGTCTTTCGGGTGCGGACATACTTTCAGGGACCATCTGCCACGAGCATCTTCATAGGTGCAATTGGCAGGTGTATCGCAACGCCCTGAACCAATTAAAAAAAGACAGAAAAGCAGCGAAGCGAAGGGCGGAGATAGGTGAAGTGGTGACATTTTGTCCACAAACGCTGAAAGATGGAAAAAGGAAAGGTCGTGAAAGTAGGCATTGGCGAGTACAAGTCAAACACACCTCAGAAAAATACTCGTCTTTAGAACCACTTACCAAAGCTGAAAGAATCCTTTACTGAACTCAAAAGACACGAACTACGCTGCAGCCTTCAATGTCATGCTTTCTGTTAGGTCGAGCAAAGAACAAACCTTTCTGAAATGTCGCTTCCTCCCTCTGTCAATGTATATAGTGTCTCCGAGACGCACAAACAAGACCCTACCTCGGGCGTGCCCTTCAAGCCCCGTAGAATGAGCTCTGTGGGAATCTGGTAATCCATACGGAATAGCTAGTGGCATCCATGGCGCGGGAGCTGCACTCAGCTCCAAAACTGAAAGCACCTTGCTGGACTGGATCACGGCAAACAGTAGTCTGCGCTGTGCACTTGTCTGGCTCAATTAAGATCAATGCAAATCGATGCGGCAAACAGTGTGTATCTGTCGTTTCAGCATACGCCCCGACAGACTGAAAATCCGAGACTGAGGATGGGTTTTACCAAGATCTGTCGGTCAGTAAGAAGGGTGGATATAGTAATCCTGTCAGGTTACATGAATGCCCAAGTCTGGAAGACGTCCAAAGTACATATCCCATATGAGCGCCCTATATGCGATCTGTGAACGGGTACGAGCATACGGCAATTATACATCTGCGTCCACCGCACCCAGTGGTGTAAAACAAGACTGTGCTCTTCAACTTCCTCACTGATGTATTGCTTGCAATTTTTCTTCTGCCCTAAAAACTACGAGGGTCGAAATATTCCCGGGATGTTCACTCACAGACATTGAGTATGCCGGCGATATTGCTCTCCTTCGTTCAGGTCTTCCAAAAATACAAACCATTTTAAATAACCTAAATTACTCTGCCAATCCATTTGGCATGCGCTTCACATCTACAAAATGCAAAGTGCTGCTACAAGACTGAATGAAACCAAGCCCAAAACTCATTCTTGTAGACGAGCTAATCAACGCGGTGGATAAATGTGTTTACTTGGGCTGTTGCCTAACTTCCGGTGGGCTGGCTGGAGATGAGATTACTCCTCAAATCGGAAATACCATGCCTTGGAAGCCAACAGGGAGCAGCGCGACGAGTCCTCGTACTGCGAGTAATCCTATTACGGGACGGTCTTGAGGTAAAGTCCTACTGTCATCTGCGATAGGAGTGTGAAGGCAGTAAGGTGTCTCCCCCAAGCAAACAGCATATCCGGTGGGTTGGCTGGAGATGAGATTACTTCTCAAATCGAGAATACCAGTGGAGCTTTTGCCAACCTCTGGTACACATGGAGTCGGCATGAAGTCAGTTTGACAAGAGCAGAGTTTGGAATCTGGAGACTACTTGTCATAATGCGTCAGACTGAAGGGATAGAATCAACCTTCATGCTGGCATTCAGTGTTGAGTTTCTGGAATGTCAGCTCCGGATTTCGCTGTTTGACTCTGTATCCAAGCCTAAGTGTCACAAATAGTGGCGACTGAAGACCATTAACGAAGATAAAGCACTTGAATTTGTCCTCGGTCATGATGCAGAGTTTGAAGCGTCCCCAAACATCGTAGACCACACCCGCATACGCGGCAATATATCCAGTATCTCTGTTTACTTTTCTGCTCACTGAATGCTTGGGAGCTTCACTGCATGGAGCTTGGGGGATATGAAATTTGTGAGCCTGACAGGCTCAGCTGCCCCCATGTTTACGAGAAACAGCCAGATTTACCATGCGTCATTAAGTAGACAAGACTGTCCGCATATTCAGCGAGCCAGCTTTCAAAAGTAAGTCAAGATTCAGCATCAAAATTGAATTCGGTAATCGGGCTGACGTCATTTGTAGAGGAAAAAGGAGGCCCGAGTGTTTCACTGCATTCCACGACATACTTCTTCCACTCTCAGTAAGCCCCATTTAAGCTCACTCGAGATGCTTCTGATGCTTTCGTAGAATTGCTTAGAACTGCTCTGTCGAAACTGATACCGTGGGTTCCAGGTGTCACGAACTGTTGATGATTGCAATACCTCGGACTGCTGTGACACCCATTATAGTATGTCAAACTGTATTGCGGTATTGACGAATATCTGACAGACACAAAGGAAGACGGTTACAGCTGTATTTGTGGCGTGAGAACGCAATTCGCCGGGCCATGATCTTTGTGATGGGGCGAGGGTCATTGGTGAGAATGACCTATTCTGACTGATTCACGGATCCACGTATTGATACAGTGTCGAAGCTTTTGCCCAAGTTTCCCGGGTCGTGGAATGCAAACCAATCAGAATCCCGAAGGTTATTTGAAGGTCACGGATTCACGGATTGATACACATGATCGAGGCATTTGCCAGGTTTCACGGATCGGTTTTGTCCTTGTCGGTCAGTGGCTGTCGTTCTCCTGAAAGGCACAAGTGAAAAAAGAGTTTAGCACTGCTCTTTATGTTCTCA